GTCAGGGTTCGATTCCCGGTCAGGGCACAGGCCCGGGTTGTGGGTTCGGTCCTCAGTGGGGGGCGTGCAGGAGGCAGCCCATCCATGATTCCTCTCATCACTGATGTTTCTCTCTCTCCCTCTCCCTCTCCCTTCCTCTCTGAGTTCAATAAAAAGTATTAAAAATATAAAAACCCAGTTAAACACAAAACCTTCGGTCTCTACACCCAGCGCCTCCCGAGAGCAGCCCTGGACCTCCAGCTCCCTCGCTTGTGCCCGCCCCGCCCACCCCTCGCCCAGAAAACCTACAAGTTAAAGAACCTGTTAAGGCGAGAGGGTACAGGCTGTGCCTGCTTCTCCTCAGGCCCCAGAACAAGGGCAGCCCCCAACCATTCCTCCCGGGCACGGCCCTGCCCTTTCCGTGCGGGTGAAGGAATGAGGTCGCACTGACACATCCGGGCCTCCTCCCGGCCCAGGGCCGTCTCCTCCCGCCCGGACGCGTGCGTGTGACCCTGTTCCGTGCTGTCTGTGCAGCCCGATTGGACTCGGTCAGCGCGAACGAACAGCTGAATGACTCTCAAATTAGCCCATCAACAGATGACGGCTGTTCCGAGTCGAGCTCTGTGCGCAAGAAGCAACCCATCAGCTGCTGGCCCCGCGCTGGGCGGGCCCGGCTGAGGAAAGGGCGGGGGGGACCCCGTTAGACTTAAAACCCGGAGGGTCTCAGGCAGCCCGACACGGAGAAGTCAAGCCGCACGCACAGCGGGTCCGGGGGAGGGGTGCCCTGCCAGGGTCTGTCCCCTTTATGTGCCGAGTTTTCGTGGCTTTGAAAGCTCGGCCTTTAAACGCTATTGGAACAGTCCTGGGGGGATCGTGCGGGTTTCCTCACAGGAAGGGGCTCCCGGGGGGGATGCTGATGACGAGCTGGGTCTTTAAAGCACCCTCTCCGCACGCCCAGCCCTTCACCCTAACAGACTAGGAGCCTCGGGGGGCGGCGGGGGAGCGGGGGGAGAGGGGAGATCAACCAATGAACCTGACTGCATATAAGCATGACCATTTAAGCCCTTTAACCCTCATCCGGGGATATTTTCCCCATTGATCTTTAGAAAGAGAGTGGAAGGGAGGGAGCGAGACGGAGAGGGAAACATCGATGTGAGAGACACATCGACTGGCTGCCTCCTGGACACACCCCAACCAGGGGACAGGGATGGAACTTGCAACAGAGGTACGTGCCCTTGACTGGGAATCGAACCTGAGACCCTTTGGGCCACGGACTGATGCTCTAACCACTGAGCACACCGGCCAGGGCCCAAAGCCCTTTGAGTCATATAACGTCGCCACCAAATCCTTCCCAAACCCTTTCTTTCAGGTGATCTGATCAGTTTGCTCAGAAATTTTCCCAGGAGCGATGCCAGCGCACCCTGATCCAACGAAAAACCTTAACCTCGAGGTCATTTATGAAATTCACTCCACCTGTGCTCAGTGGTTGAGTGTCGATCTCTGAACCAGGAAGTCAGGGCACATGCCCGGGTTGCAGGCTTGATCCCCAGTAGGGGGTGTGCAGGAGGCAGCCGATCAATGATTCTCCCATCATGGATGCTTCTATCTCCCTCTCCCCTCCTCTCTGAAATCCTATCTAATAAAAGGCTAATATGCAAACCAACCAAACAGAACGACCAGTAGTTATGACACGCACTGACCACCAGGGGGCAGACGCTCCATGCAGGAGCTGCCCCCTAGTAGTCAGTGCACTCCCACAGGGGGAGCACCGCTCAGCCAGAAGCCGGGCTCACGGCTGGTGAGCGCAGTGGTAGTTGGGGGAGCCTGCCTCCGGGGCAGTGCTAAGGACCCCTTGGGGGATGTCTGCGGGGAGCGGGCCTAAGCCGGCAGGCGGACATCCGCACAAATGTCATGCACCTGGTCTCTAGTCAATTATATAATATATATATATTTTTAAAACATTAATAAATCCACTCCTCTGACATGTGGCATATCCTTTGGGAGGGACCACGGCATGGCCGTTACCGAGTCGCCTTGTCCCCAAAACCCCGAAGCTGGGCATGTGGGGTTTGACAGCACGAGCCCTGTGACTACACCCCCAACACTGCGCCGGCGCTGACCTCACCGTGACCCCTGGAGTTGGAAATCCAAGCTGACCCACCTGGGCTCCCACCTTGGTCGTCCTAATAAGCAAAGACGCTGGCACACCTACGACCATCGCGTTCCTGACCGCGGAGCTCGCACGTGGCAGGCCACATGAGTGTCGCTGCAAAGAGCCAGAAATAGCGCCACCCACTCGAAATTTCTGAATGGCCCCTTCCCTGCTGATCTCCACGCAGAGCCCTCACGAGCAGACTGCGTGACAGCGCGGGACTAAAAATAGGTCCGAGGAGACGTTCTGTCCCTCGGTGAGGAAGTGACCGCCTGGAGGGCACCGGGGGCCCCAGGACTCCGGGACGGGGAGCAGCGAGGGGCCCATCCCACTGGGAAGGAGATGGCGCTGTCACCACGAAGCCGACAGGTCTGGTTATTAAAGACCCAGAGCCACTTTCTGCACGAGTCAGACTGTGCTTGGTCTCCACACAGATCACAGGCACCAGGGGAAGCCGGGTTTAAAGCTGTTTCCTCAAAGGTTCAACCCAGAGCTGCCGAGTGACCCAGCACTGCCCAGAGCAGAGAACACATATGTTCACACGAAAACCAGTACACGAATGTCCACACTAGTACACGAATGTCCACACAAAAACCAGTACATGAATGCTCACACAACCACTAGTACACGAATGTTCGTAGCAGCATATTCACAGCAGCCGAAGGTGGAAACAGCCCACGTGCCCATGAACTGGTGATGGACAGACGGCGGCACGTCCATACGATGGAACACTACGCAGCCATGAGAAGGAATGGAGCCCCGACGCCCTACAACACGGGAGCGCCTCGCGGACGGGGGACTGAGTGAGAAGCCAGGGCCGGGCACGTCTCCTTCTAACGTCCTTGCAGCAGCACCAGAAGCAGGCACGGCGGCGGCCACGTCTGGGACAGCTCCCTCCCTTTGCTGTGGAACTCCCCAGAGGAAAGAGCCTGCTTTCCAACGTCGGGTTTTCATCACGACGTGCCAGGTTGGCTGGTGCAGGAGCACCCCCCCTTCCCCAGCAA